GACACATTCCGTGTTGGATACGGCGGCCTTCCTGATGATGATCCATATGTCATAATATTCGTACCAATCTATTATTTAATGAACGATATTTATTCAACTACTAGGACATAGCCCTTACATAATAAATTCGTTTAGCTTGATGTTTGTTTAATATTTTTATCGCTAAAAATAATTGTTTTCGTCAAATAAAGTTGAATAATCCTCTAGAATAATTCCTCTATGACCAATATAACCGAATTTAATTTTATGCACGTTCTTTCATCGACTTTTCCTTAAAGAGTTAGCTACCGGGACATTCACCTTACTGTCGCTAAACGGAATGTGTTCATCTGAGACTGTACAAACGACCCCTCCCCCAAACATGGGGGTTATAAAGGATTTTGGCGATATGGAGGCGGACCACTTACGCTCCAGTTGGCGACTGACCTTTTAAATATCGGGCAACCCTGCCCTAGGGACCCTATATCATCAATTATACCTCCTAGAAACCGGCGGGATTGTAGAACAACGCACAGAGCAAAGTTGCAATCAATTGATGGGCTCAATCCCTTAAATTAACAAGTTAAAACCAATATATATGTTACCGATAATTAAGTGAGCCTAGTGTCGTATCGTTTTTAAAAATCAGACGGCAATATGGTGAGTACTTTGTTCAATTTTTAGCTTTCGAAGTTCGAGGTTAGGTCGTTCGAATATGTTTACATTGCTATTTATCCCGAGGAAACAGTAAATAATCAACATGGAGCGATGTTTATTTGATTATTGCAGTATTCTCTCATACATAAAACCGAAAATGCTCATGACGATAGTATTTGGACGTGCGCGTGGGGCAAACCCAAGCGAAAAAAAGACAGTAATGCTGACAATGAAGACTCAAGGTGATGACAATTGTCTATTTGAAATTTTGAAAAACGGCTATTCAAGTGTTCAATGGAATTTATTCCTGTATCGATGGGTTTCTGTTGCTAGGGAATCAATGCGTTCGAACGACGATGAATCGTCGGAATATATCGTCACAGGCTCGGTTGACGACTCGGTGAAGGTTTGGGAGCACAGGGATGGAAATTTGAAGATTAAACATAAATTGACTGGACATTCTCTCGGGGTTGTTTCGGTTGCTGTCAGCTCTGATGGAACGAGTGAGTATTCTTTCAGAATATTTTCACGTAATAAAAGCTACAGATGTTCATCTTTCTGTGCAACTTATTCTGTAGAAAGATAACCGGACAAAATTTCCCTGGGCACAATTTCGCAGAAAAAAATTTCCCCGGACACAGTTTTCTTTTTGAATATATGGACAGAGGAAAGCAAAAAAATTGTCACACAGCAGTTTTGCAAGAAAGTTACAGCCTTTAATAAACAATAAGAATTCACACCGAAAAACACCAAGAAAAAAGAAGTGACGAGAGCCAGAACCACTTCTAACATTTTGAGGCGTGATAAAGATACTGTAATTTTAATTTATATTAGCAAGTAATTCGCTCTTCGCCTCGTGGCTCGGTGTATACAAGTTGAATCTGGACTGAATGATTAAGAATTTAGGCACGAATAGAATACAAAATAATCAACATTCAGCTGAAAACCCAACACAGTTGAACTGATATCTCCACCACTAACTTTCCTCCTGCCGGTTATACGAGTGCGACTTCAAAAGAAATTCTGTCTGTCGAATTTCGTCCGGGGGAATTTTTTTCGGAGAAATTTTGTTCAGGAAATTATGTCCGGGGAAGGGGTTTCCTAGAATCTTGTAGAAATTCCTCGACACAAATTCTCCAAGTTTACAGGGATGGAAAACGTCATGTTTCCCGTAATGAAATTCAAGAAAAATCTCTAGAGGTCGATTTTTCTACGTCCATAGAAACAAGTGGACAATTGGAGAGTTGTATAGAAAAATAAAATTCTATCGATTTTTTTAATGAATATTTTCCATTCAGTACCCAAAACTGATTTCACTCCAAGTCCTATAAAAATCTAATAACGAAACAATTGGCTCAGGTGCCAATCCGGGATGAAAATATCTCTTCTAAAGTGAAGCTAGCCCCACTTTTTACATCTCCTCAATTGCAGAATGTGCATCGAGTTCGTTAGACTCGAGTCTGAGACTCTGGGACTTGGAATCAGGTGAAAAAATATCGAGTATCGAAGTAGGTCCAGTGGACATCTGGACAGTTGTTTTTTCCCCGGACGACAAGTTCATCGTTTCTGGAAGTCATGCTGGAAAAATTCACATGTATGGCACTGAGAGCTGCAAGGAAGAGCAAACACTAGACACCAGAGGTGGAAAGTTCACCCTTAGTGTTGCATACAGTCCCGATGAGAAATACATCGCGAGTGGAGCTATCGACGGTATCATAAATATCTTCGATGTTGCGTATGGAAAAGTCCTGAGGACTTTAGAGGGTCACGCTATGCCCATCAGGTCTCTGTGTTTTTCCCCGGATTCTCAGCTATTGCTGACTGCTTCGGACGATGGACACATGAAACTTTATGACGTCCAGTCGGCGAATGTCGCTGGTACCATGTCTGGACACGCCTCTTGGGTTCTCGGGGTTGCCTTTGCACCTGATGGACAGAAATTCGCCTCCAGCAGTTCAGATCATACTGTGAAAATTTGGGAACTGGCGGAGAGGCAGTGTCTTCATACTTTCAAAGATCACGCTGATCAAGTAAGTCTTTCTTCGGATGTGAAAAAATTTAATTGAAAAACCTAATTAATTTGCTGTACACTTTATTCTGTTGAGATATTTTCTATAGAATTTCCTCGCTTCAATTTTCCAAGCTTTTTTATTTAATTTTCTTGATGAAAAGAAATAAGTAATAGAAAGTTAAATAGAAATCCAATAGAATTGTCTAGCGAATTCACAGTTTTTCTGTTCTATTGGAAAATTCTATTGAATTTCTACTCAACTTTTTATTAAGTTTGGCTGATTTTATTCAAAAATTCGACAGCTTATCGTATTTATTCGATATAAATATTCAATGGAAAATGGGCTATAGAAAAAATTAATAGATATTCTATTGAGATATTTTCTATAAAAATTTCGCGGTCCAAATTTTCCAAATTTTTTTGCTAAATTTGTTTCAATGAAATAAGAAGAGAATAAATGGGAAAAACATGGAAATTTCATGTCGAGATATTTCTGCAGGAAATGTCTATAGAAAATGCAATACAACTTATTTTGACATATTTTCTATAGAATTTCGTCTGCTCTATTTTCCAAGTTTTTTGCTTAATTTGTTTCAATGAAATAAGAAGAGAAATAAATGGAAAAAACTTGGAAAATTCGTGTCGAGGAATTCCTATAGTAAATGTCTCAATAGTAAAAGTTGTACAGAAACATGAAATTCTACTGATTTATTCTATAAAAGTTTCTATTGAACGTTTTCCATGAATTCTTCAATAAAATCACCTAAAAACCAATAGAATTTACGACAGGAATTGCATAGAAATCCAAAAAAAAATTCTATCGAATTCGCTAGGTTTTTCTATTAAATTTTTTGCTGAGAAATTTCAACAGAAAATCTCTTAATATAACGTTTTTACCCTGGCCTGACGAAAACTGTTGAAAAACAATCCATTTCCATCCAACATAATGATCTGAAAAACCAAATCCCAATATAATTGTTGCTTCTTCCAGGTATGGGCAGTCAAATACCACCCAGAGAAGAACAACACCCTGGTATCAGTGTCAGAAGACAAGTCAATCAATCTCTACGAATATCCCCAATAAATGGAGAACAAACATCGATGTAATAAAAAAAACACCTTGTAAAAAAACACATAAATCGATTTCTCTACTTTGTAAATCTTTGGGTTTTATTGACAGATGTCACATGTATTAGCTATAAATTTTATTTCAGATTTTTCAATAATATACAACTGATTTTAAATTTCCCAAAAGCTTACGTCGTAACAAAAGAGCGAAAACTTTTATATTTGAAAGTTTCACTTAGACTGTTACCGATAAGCATAGACGCTCTAATTGTCCTCAAGCAGGGAAAAAATTGATAAAGTAATGAGACCTCGTACTCCCCATGTACAAATTTCTAGTCAAAAGAGTTAAATTTAATCAACTCAGGCTAGACGAGGAGCTGTGATAAACGCATTTTCATGGAAACAAATAAATGAATGGGTTACCTAGAACTAAGCATTCACTTCACAAAGAAACCATTGCTCTTTCTTTTATCCATCTTCCGTCAATCCAACAGGAAGTAGAGAAGACTCCTAGTGAAAGGTAAACAAAAGAGAAGGCAACGAAATATATGTACACATGGCAGCAGAAGAAGGATTTTGTTTTCCATTTGCAAAGAAAATTTCAAAGAAAATAACAAACTTGACAAAGGGAGACTCGCCATACAATTTATCGATTGAGGGGCAGTTCACCCCGGAGAAAAAACTTTTAAAATACCATTTTTCGCGCGATTTTTCCTCAGAAATCGGATTTTGCAGGTCGCAATTGTCGTCTGCCACCCAAAAGTGGAGAATCGAATTTTTTTGAATCGAAAAATCAACTTAACAAAAATCCCCAACGTTTTTTTTCTTTTAAATAGTTTTTTGAATATGATCTGAAATTTTCGCTCCTTAATTATGAAAAATGCGGGAGTAGATGCATTTTTAAATTTATTCGTTTATCAAAATTTTATTAATATCTGAAAAAAACATTTTTCTTGTCCCAAATATTATGTGTAAACTTCATTTATGATTACTAACTCGATGTTTCATGATCCCCATGCATTTACCTAGCCTTTTTTTTATTGTTTTCCGTATTGTTTCGTTTCATTTTCCATTCTTTTGTGGAAATTCACTCATTCTAATTGATACTGTCAACTTATTTTCGAAAATACCATCGATCCATTAAAAATAACGAGTTTTTTCAGGTTGATCAATGGACCATATTAAAAAACCTATTTCGAAAAGACAAAAATACGTTAGGGATTTTTCAAAAGTTGATTTTTCGATTGGAAAAAAATCGAATCTCTAATTTTTAGCACTCGGAGATGAATTCGATCTGTAAAATCGGATTTCTGAGGAAAAATTACGCGGAAAATAGTGTTTTCCATGTTTTTTTTCCGGAGGTGAACCTCCCCTTAACACAACTATTCAAATGAGTAAGATTTATCAAGACTTCAACACTACCCGAGAAAATGGCATTGAATCAATGCCTCTCTCACTTACTTTCGAATTTTATATTTTAATTACGAACTCGTAAATGCTAAAAATAGATTATGTATTCCCGATGAATTTGTTCTTCGTCGAAATAGACTAGACATTCTAAATGTTAATTGGAGATGGGATCCTCTTATGCAAGTTCTCTCATAAATTATTATCTTTGTTTAGACCACTGAAATACGAGAATACAAATAACGAAAAAAAGAACATTCAGGGCCTAGAGTTGTTACCTTGCACACTTTTTGTTCATTCAATGACAATGTCAAACTACTGTTTCATCTCATTTTGCTCCATTTTATCGCGATTTTTCTACTATCAGTCTTGAGAGTGTTTTTACGCAATCACGTGACAACCAGAGAGAACTCTCGATTATTTTTTCGTGTTGGGGAGAATGGTTTAAAAAAATGCCTGGTATGACTCCCATCTGTTATATACAGTGCAAAATAAATAAACAAAGCGCAAACTCGACGCTTCTGTAGACATTCACTCTCATCGGTAATCTTATGTACATTCACAAAAATGCGTATCTTAAAATCGCACACGGAGATGAAATTAATCGACTCCACGTAGAAATAAGTCTCATAAGTTTTAAAAATAATCGGAGTGAAGAGCAATTTGTATAGGCTGAATGAGACAATACTGACTAGCCAGAAACGAAAAATGCCAATGTACATGTGTGAATTAATTTCATAGAAAAATCTAGTACAGTTGCTAGAAATTTTATTGGAAATTCTAGGGGTTTTTCGTCGACTCTTTTGACAAAATTCGCGGCTTTTCTGCACTTTTTTCTACAGAAAATGTTCAATTGGAAATATTTTGTGGAGGAAATCAATGAAATTTCATTGTTGTTTTCACTGTGGCCTTTTCTAGTCACTGAAAAAATTAAACTAAGAAACTTGGAGTTTGGGGGGAGAAATTTTCGTAGAACATACTTTTATGAAATAAGTTGTACAGGAAAATAAACTTCTGTTGAATTTGGAATTTGTAGAATTTTACACAACAAAATTATTATTTTGAGACTTTCACGTATGAAAAATTGAATAGAAAAACCTAGCGCTTTCTCTGAGAAAATTTATTGAATTTGTATGAGAATTCTATTGAAAAATTCCATTGTTTTTTTTGCACGGATTCCATTAAAAATTATGCAATTATAACTTCTCCGTGGGGTTTTAAATAGATATTTGTTTATAGAAAAATGTCTGTAGATGTTGATTTTTCTGTGTAATTTATTGCGTTGGGATTTTTTCTATAAGAATTCTTGGGCATGAATTTTCTGATTTTTTCTTGGATTTCATTATGAGAAACGAATAAAAATACAGTGGAAAAAATTTACAAAATTCACGCCCAAGAACTTTTATGAAAAAATAAAAATCTATTTACTTTTCTTCCTATCAAATATCTCTTTTTTCAACAAATAGATTTTTTAAATAGAATTCTAATAAAACATTAAGAGAATCCTTATAGAGTTCCAATAAAAATTCAGTCAAATTTCTCACATACAGCACTAGATTTTTCAATTAAATTTCAGGAGTAAAGTCTCAATTAAAACTTTCGAGTGTCAAATTCCGATTTTTAGTTGAGGCATGAAAAACCCAAATTTCCGAAATCATCAATTCGAATCACCGAAAGTTTTTCGAAAAAATTCAAATCAACGTTTCCAAAGACTCTTATTTCAAGATTTTTCATCTCGAAACAATCTTAAAAAAAATTTCAATCAACAAACCAAACCCAAGAAATAAAAATCGCTGCTAAATGTTAATTAATTCGCTACCACTACCGCCATTATTTCCACAAAATATTCTGTACTGACCATTTCCCTCGCCAAATCTAAAAACAAACAGCCCCCGCAGACCCCCCAGAAATCCAACAATTTTCCAGGCAAAACCCCCACGAAAAATCCTCATACCCAACGAAAAGAAAAAAACCTTCAAACACTTGTGACTTTGGACGACGCAGTGGCGATGCCATTTGAGCACTCCCTGTCACCCAGTCCCCTCCCATCGCACCTGAGACTGTAGTTGTCCATAGCTGCACTCCCAACGCCCGCCTTCTCAGCCATTCCCCCCTGATGTTCGGAATCTACCCTGAAGAAAGACCCCAGTCGCGATATCCTCTTGGCATCACAATCCGCCCCCTCACTCTTCTGCTTCCTCAGCACAACAGCCCCCGACACTCCTCTCCCCTCAATTTTATCCCCAAACTTTGGAATTCTGCTGGACGACTCATTGGCATTGATTTCCGTCAAATCACAAGAATTTCTGTAACCATTCCCCAGCTGTCTCTCCGCCACCTTTCCCAGCTTAAGTGGCATTCTGATCCCCGTTTCCTTTGGCACACCCTCAAACGTCGAGCTACGAAACAGCCTCAGCGCTGGAAGTTGATGAACAACACTCTCCCCCTCCCCCTTCAGACCCTCAGCAGTGATCCACTGCCTGGTGTCTGGCTTCTCAAACTTCTGCCTACTTCTGCTCTCCTCCACCTTCTTCCACAGACTCGCTATTTTGCTAGTGGCCTCCTTCGTCAGCTTCTGCGACCCCCCAGCCGACGCCTGCGAAACAATGCTGGAGTTGCTGTTGGACCTCTGTCCCAGTTTCTTCCCTTGTGCGTTCCCTTGATCAAAATTTTTCCCACCCTCCACCTGACGTTTACTCGCCCCAGCCTTTTGGCTGGGTATTCCATCAGCGCTTGAGCACTTTGTCAATTTGGACTGAAAGTTTCTCACCAAAATTTTGGACTTTGCTGGGACATGTGCAGGCGACCTGGCTGGCTTAGCTATTTTTGATTTACTGGGGGAGTTGGTGACCATCGGTGTGTTCTCCATCTCAGGCTCGTCCTTGGTGAACGTTCCCTGTCGCTCCAGTGGCTTTATCACTTCAGCCTTCCTCCCCGGACTGGACAGACAGCTTGGGGGGGTGCTGTGACGTTTCACTGTCTCCTCAGGGGCAGACGAGGGCCCCCGTTGGGGAATGGAGCTTCGTTTCGACAAGGCCACTGCCTTACTCGCAGAATTCTTCTGAGCCCCTGGGGTTTTCGAGTTTGTGTTCGTGGTCTGTCGCAGTGTTGTCGCCCTGGTGGCACGAACGACAGTTGAGGGATTGCTGCGACCGATGGGAATGCCACTGGAGCCTTGCTTCACTGGAGACGACTGTGGAGTGACTTTTTTATTGATCCCTGGCTTTGAGTAAAGGGCTTTTCGCCTGCCCCTGATGCCCTTCGGGCTCGCAGGCTCCTTTTCCCCGTCATTGGCATCTCCACAGGGCTCACGACTCCCTGGCTTGATGATTCGAGGGCGTTTTGGCTGCTGTTTCACCGGTGACGTACCATTTTCACTCTCGGAGTCACTGCCCTCTGACGAGTGCTCCTGCTCGTCTGGCTGAGGCTCAGGGGCTTGAGGCTCGTCCACAGCCTGCCAGGTCTCCTGCTGGGCCTGAGGACTCTTCTTCTTCACGAAAGTCGAGAATTTCGTCTCCGCACCGTCACCCAGTCGCATCCTGAGACTTATTTCAGCACCAGAGGCGTGAGACACTAGGCTAATTGTCTCGATATCCAGGAGGGATTCCTCGGTTTTCGTTTCGCTGAGGGTGTGGAGGACAATATTGGCATTTTGCTCCAACATTGTCTGCATTTCTTCGGACGTTCCCTCCCTGGACTCAGTGCTGTGGCTGCCCTGATCCTGTTGGGAGTCTGAATCCTCCAGAGTTCTCGTTCTGTACCGGCCCCTGTTGTCCTCTCGATTTTTCTTCGTCTTGCAGCCGGAAAAACTCCTCAACGAAGGGATTCCAGTCTTCAGAGTAACCGTTGCTGTATCAATACTCCTCCCCTGATCCTCCCCCTCGCTCGGCTGATTTACAGCTGCCAATGGGGCGCCAAGGACTTGAGTCTGGAACCTGGCTCGATCCTCCTGTCTCCTCTGCTTGGGCGTCAGCTTCGAGAATGGGGACAATTTGGGTCGACTCACGGAATTATTGTCCCCCTGATGCTTCCTCCGCTCCTCCTCCTCCTTCTTCACCAGCTCAGCAGCAATCGTGTAAGTCTTGTACCTTTCCTTCGCCAATTGTCGCTTCTGCTTGGGTGTCAAGTGATTTTTACTGTTCAATCTTTTCTTCGGGGTGGACTCAGCTGAACTGCTGAGGCTGTACTCCGTGGATATGGGGGTGGCAGCCTCGTCAGTGTCATTATCGACTTCCTCAATCCTCTCAATTCCCGAGATCTCCTCAGTTTTTAATTCAACGTCAATGCAAAGTGTGTCACTGCACATTGTGTCAGTGTTAGCGTCGATCGTTGTGTCGTCAATCTCGCTGATCTCGTTGAACAATGAAGGTGGATTTATGTTCTCAAGGTACTCAGACAAGCTGTTATTGGCGCTGTTCTCAGCATACTTGAGGCAAGTCATGGACAGAACATTGGCGACTGGTTTTATGAGATCGAAGACAGGATCACTGCTCGTTAAACTGTTGGAGTCCTGATCCCTCGAGTCAGCGATCTCCGATGTTATGCTAGCAACACTGAGCATGCTGTTCTCCATGTCCCCAGTGTCTAGAAGTTCGTCCATCATCGATGGTGGCTTGACATTCTCCAGTTGCGAGCCTGTGCTGTCGTTGAGGAGGCTCTCGAGGCTGCCAGTTTGACTCTGTCCCTGGCCCAGGGCTCGTCGAGCTACTATACCAATTGGTAATGATTTTTTTCTCCCCCCTCGAGGCTTGAAGACAGCTGTGGGCAGGGAGCTCGACTGACAGGCGTCACGAGTGCTTGGATTATCCAGAATTTCAGGGCCAGCGTAGCTACTGGTCAGCGATATCAAGCTGTTCATCGTTGAGGGCGGCTTTATGGCCTCCAGATCGTGACTCGTCAGGCTCAACACTCGAAATTCTGCGTTGACAGCCTCAGCGAGTTTGAAGGCCTCTTGCTCGATTATCCTCGATGTCGTCATGTTGCAGGGGTCGATGAGTGAATTCTTGGATAGGGTCTGAGTGTCCTTATCGTCTTCGGTGTCACTCTTGAAGGAGGCCACTAGAGGCACACTCATGCTGATCGTTGGGAATGAATTGTCATTCGGTGAGTCCTCGTTCCATGTGTCACTCTGGATGCTCTGCTTCATCGCTGATGAGTCCCTCTCCCTCATGGCTTCTGTCTGCTGGACCAGGGTCGCTGTCAGTCTGTCCAGTGAGGCTATCATCGCGTCTGGATCACGCTGTCTTCGATATTCCTCGTGGACGTCCTCCAGGGGAACTTCTGCTGGGGGATGTCTCTTTGCTCTTGACACTGCACTTCCGTCGGGCTGAACCGCCTCTGCTGCGTCGCTCGGGGAGGATGGCTCGCTCAGGCCTATTGTCTCGACGTTTCCTGGACTTGACTTTATGCAAAATTCCAGGAGCACCTGCTCTGATCGCTCCACTGAATCGTAGGAGTCAATGCTCTCTGGGTCCATCGTCTCCAGCGATGGATTATCTGATTTTATCTGGTCTGTGCGGGTCTCACTGGTGTTGGAGATTGTTTGAATTGTTGAATCCTCGGTGCTGGCCTCCGACAATCTGCTGTCGTCGACTTGATGGAGAACAGCACTCGTTTGGTATCTGATGAGATTGGATTCTCGGGAGGCTTTCTCGAGGCTGTTCCTGCGAAATGATTGCCGGTGACGGTTGTTCTGCATTCCGACGTGAATGCAGGCTGCCAACAGGTCCTCGTCGTCGTCGTCACCATCACTCGCCATTGATTCGGTCAGGCTCTCGGGCTCTCCAATGGTCAGACGTTTATTCGGTTTGTCTCGGGGCTTTTTCTCGGTGGGAACCTTGGACTCATCGTCGACTACGAGGGACGTCAAGCGGGTGATCGTTGACTCGACGATTATTGCGTCCTCCGGTGGCTCGCTCTCGTCTTCCTCCACTGGAACACCTGATTGGGGGAATTATTGTTTCAGTTATTGGTGTTTAAGTTTTTAGAAAACTAATGCTGTGAAAATGAAGACATCGAATTTATCAAATTTTATATACTCATAGATGTTTTGTCAATATTGATAATGACTTGATGAGAATTAAGAGAATGAAGAGTGAAACATCAATGAATAATTTTTAATCGTCGGTTAATTCTTTTTTTTTATTTTTTGGAATAATCTGATTAAAATCGGTAATTGTTGAAATATGAAGGGAGGGTTATGAATTGATTCCTAGAATACTGAAAAGACTGAATAAAGTGAACAACTTCGCGTTTCTTTCATCCTTAATAAATAGAATTCTGAGGGAATAGGGAATTTGCATGAATTTTTTTCAATTTTGTAATCTCACGTTTGAGACATGATTTTCAATTAATTATCATGAGACATGTAGGCAATATTTCTCCATAATTTTCGACGTTTTGCTATTCGTATGTTAATAGCAATGGGTGAATGGATTCAATTCTTCTAATACTCTATTTAAATTATTCTGGAAATGTTACTGATTGTTGGAATATTAATAATTGATTTGAGGAATATTAGTCGTTATCAAAGTTATGAAAGGTGATTTAAAGAATATTGTCCGTTATTGTTCACAAACGAGAAAATTTCATAGAGTAATTTAGCAATTTTGATAGAAAAAAGTCAATCGAATTAATATAGAACTTCTTCTATCGAGACATTTTCTACAGGAATTCTCCGACATAAATTTCCTCCGTTTTTACCCTATTTAAACTTTTTTGTTCAGAAAAAATTTTTTTGAAATTTGAGCCGAGGAATTTCTATCGAAAATAACTGAAGAGAATAATAAGCCGTACGAAAAAATCAAATTCTATTGATATTTTTTACTGAATATTTTCGATTGAACATTTCTATTACAAAAATGCGTCGAAAACAGCGAAATTTTTCAGCAAAATCGGCAAAAAGTTAATATCAAATTTCACACAAATCCCATCCGATTTCCTAGTAAATTCGCTAGGTTTTTGTATGAAATTACAATAAAAATTAGCAAAAATAAACTAAATTTGCTGACGCCTAACCTGAATCGATGTCTGAATGAGCTTCCACCGAGCTTTCAGGCAGACTCAGAGGTTTCGAGGTCGTTTGCGCCAGACTCTTCTCAGCTCTCTCCGCACAGCCCCTGACTCTAGGATAAACCCTCAACGACGAGTCCTTCTCCAGATTAAACTGTTTGATTTTCCCATCATCCTGAAGATCAGAGTGCGACGCAGCCCTCGACGAATTCAGAGACGTTCCATACGGTGTGCCTTCAGTGCAGTACGTCTTAACAGTATCTTCAATATCCTGTTCACTCCCAGCAAAGTACCCAGAGCTCTGCTTCTCATCCTCATCCGAATTTCTCTCAGCATACCGAAGACTGTAGTTTGTCGGTTGATCAAGATCAGTCTCAGCATAATTCCCGAAAGGATCTCCCTCAGAGGTGTGAGACGAAGTGGGTGAGATAATGGGCTTGCTGATGAATCCTCCCACCTCGAAACTGCAGTTGCCAGTGAAATTCCCAGCACCAACTGGAGATACTGGGCTCGGCGTCTTAACTTTGGCCCCAGCCGAACTACTTGACAATTTCTTCTCAATAGAAGTCCTCAGGAATGAACATGTCGAGTTCTGATCAGGTCCAGTGGCCCAGGAAATCGTCGAACTGATGCCCAGATCAGTTGGCCTCAGACGTTCAGGAATTGAATTCTTGTACTTCAAAGCGTACTTCTTCTCCAACTGACTCGTCTTGCTGTGGCCATCCCTCGTCCCCTGGCCGCTGAATCCAGTCGCCGCATGAAGGGACGCTGACTGCTGTTTAATCTGCAGTTCACTCGGAGTAAACCCATTCACATGACGATTAACTCTCTCAAAAATGGTGTCTGAGTGTGTGCTTGTGACAGACCTCATGGACTCTCTGCTCTCACTGCGAGGCACTCCATTGTACCTGCAAGAGCCAGTGGCATAGATCCTCTTGCCATCAGCAACATTGGCCTCTTTAAACGAGAACTTGTCGTCTTTAGTCGTTGGCGAGGTGCTGGGCTCGATGTTCTCGCACGTCTCCGAGAGATTCTGATCGATCTCCTGTTCCAGTGCTCGCTGCCTCCTGGCATTTAAAGTCGGCAGAGTAGGCAATCCCAGTCCACGAGCAGTCGAATCAAGATGCACGAGATTGCTGCCCCCAGGCCGAGCGCTCAGCAGGTTCTTCAGAGCTGCTGACGAGCCCATGGAGATCATCTTGTGCTTGGAGTGAACGAGACTTCTCAGCATTGGAACGGCCCCCAGGTCCCACAGCAGTCGCTGATCGTGAGGACACCTTGCTGATAGATTCCAGAGTGCCCCACAAGCATTGCTGACAACAGTCAAACTGGGCGATCTCAGCTGTCGTAGGAGCACCTGGAGACAGCCACGCTCCCTCACAATGACTCGATAGTCCTCCCTCACTGCGATGTGACTGGACACATTCCTCAGTATTCCCCCAGCATTCTCGACGATTGCAAGTGTCTTCGAGGGGGCCTTGTAGCTCAGCATGTCAACGAGAAATGCCAGTGCCCCCTCGACCCCACAAATGTCCACTTTATTCGTGCTGCAGTGGGCTGAGAGGTTCCAGAGGGCTGATAAAATTGACTTCAACGTTGACTCCTTTCTCCCCTCCATGGCAGCCTTCATCAGTCCAATCACAGCGCCGACTTCGCGCAGTGTCTGCTTGCTGCTGGAGTCTGCTCGCCACGATAAATTCCTGAGGACACTGGCTGTCACTTGACGCAAGTCGTCGCTGAGACTCCTCAGCTGGGTGACGAGTGCCTTCATAAATTCCCTGAATGAGCACAGCAGGGCCTTGTTGTTGCCATCACCGAAGGTCAGGTTCGTCAGGGCCATTCCGGCGTATCTCCTCAGGGTTATGCAGCTCTGGTCGTCGGAGTCGGTGCCATGAGCTGCGTGATCCATTTCTATGAGCTCAGCCACTGCGTGGAGACCACCGAGCTGGCACATGGCGTGTCTGTGGGCCTCGTCGAACGAGAGCTTCATCAGGGCTGCTATTGTCGGGCCTGGGTGTCGCTCAAGGTCGTCTGGGGGTCGCTCGGTTTCCAGGGATGTTCTGAGGACTTGGCAGTAGTCCCTCACCTGCTCCAGCAGACGGAGGACTCGGGCCTCGCGTCTGCCTACCTTCTCGTCGGTTCTTGCGTGGATCACGTTGTGGAGGGCTCGTGAGGCGCGCTCGCGGGTCTCTGGGTCTTGCCCGGGGGCGTGGATCAGCTGGACCAGCAGGGGGAGACAGCCAGACTGGCGCATTACTAGGCAGCTGTCTAGGGAGTTGCTCATGGCCAAGAGCGTGCCTGACATGTCCTCGCGACCCTCGGTGCTCCCCAGCATCCCCAGCAGGCTGTAGACCACGTCCACCTTGGCACCGAGACGACGGTGGCCCTGGAGACCTACCGAGCAGCCACTGCCGGAGGAGAAACTCATCACACTCGCCATTTCCTGAGGATGGAAAATATCTTGTGTCAAAGGGTTCAACTCAATTCCGTTCTACCGCCGGGTCTCGATGAATATCGCAAATTCTGAAGGAGTGAGCAAAATTTTTGGAAAAATCTTTTTTGTAAAGAAAAGTGAAGACTATCGAAAAAGATCTTACAAGAATTTTGCTTTCTTAAATTCTGAGGTATTCAACAAAAACTCAAGTGGGAGCTAAGTCGACTTAAAGCGGTTGAGCACTTCACTACTGAATTCATTTTTCATTCACAAACGTTCGAAATATTGCTCATTAATTAATTATTAATTTTTTAATCTCAAGGTTGGGAGCTGAATAATTGTGCAGTGGTCACACGGTTTAAGTAAATTCCATTCTACCGCCGGGTCTCGATGAATATCGCAGATTCTGAAGGAGTGGAAAAAATTTTTGCCAAAATCTTTTTTGTAAAGAAAAGTGAAGGCTATCGAAAAAGATCTTACAAGAATTTTGCTTTCTTAAATTCTGAGGTATTCAACAAAAACTCAAGTGGGAGCTAAGTCGACTTAAAGCGGTTGAGCACTTCACTACTAAATTCATTTGTCATTCACAAACGTTCGAAATATTGCTCATTAATTAATTATTAATTTTTTAATCTCAAGTTTGGGAGCTGAATAATTGTGCAGTGGTCACACGGTTCAAGTAAATTCCATTCTAACGCCAGTTCTCGATGAATATCGTAGATTCTGAAGGAGTGGGAAAAATTTTTGTCAAAATCTTTTTTGTAAAGAAAAGTGAAGGCTATCGAAAAAGATCTTACAAGAATTTTGCTCTCTTAAATATTGAGTTATTCAACAACAACTCAAGTGGGAGCTAAGTCGACTTAAATCGGTTGAGCACTTCACTAATAAATTCATTTGTCATTCATAAACGTTCGAAATACCGCTCATTAATTAATTATTAATTAATTATTATCTAGCGAACGGGCGCTTCGCTTTGGTGTTATTTTATTTTACTTTCTTTCCATGTCCGTCTTCACGATTAGATCAATTTTATTTTATTCATTATTATTGTTGTTATATATATTTTTAGGAAAATCAGAAATAAATTTAAAAAATCGATTTTTCAATCTTGAAAAGTTCAAAACGTTTTTTTTTAATAATGAAGAAAAACCAATGTAATTTCTTTCGATTATCTCATTCTGATGGGAGAAAGTTAAAAGAGGAAGAGAAAGGAGATCAACACAAAAACACAATTTTTAATTTTTCAATGTTTAGGGAAATTTTAAAATTGATATATTTTTTCGAATAATGAACCAATACCCATAAATTCAATTCCTATCCTCGCATTTTCATAGAATACATCAAAAAATAGCAAAGAATTCAAATCGGCGATGAAAAATTTCATCGGATTATTATTATGTAATAATTATTAAAAGTTTAAGACTTTAAAGGCTTTGAAATCGCTAATGACGCCACCCAGACGGTCCAATGCTGAATTAAATGCTAGCTTAAAATGTTTGTTTTAGCGATATTAAGTAAAAGGCGAAAGATGATTACGATAGCTAGAAGCAAATGTAGTTCGAAGAAAAGAAAGAAAAGCCTTAATCCGATATGCGTAACACGTAATCAGTTAGAAGGATTCAAATTCAGTTAATTGAATCACGTAATCAGAAAGTGACTAATGTAACTAGTTGTTACGACCGAAGAGACTTAATCCGATTGTTATAAAATGAAAATTGTGGTGTGCATTGCATATGAAGAATGTTTGATGGAGTGGAACAGATTTATTTGAGAGAAATTAGCCAATTCGATGGAAGGAATTTGGAAATGTTTGCAGACAGTGAAATAAAGTTTTGATTTTCAGGGACAAGCCACTGATTTTCAGGAACTTGTCACTGATTTTCAGAAATTTATCCTCAATTATTAGGATTTCGCGATTGTAAAATTCTGTTTATGGAAAAAACAGACAAACTAATTTTCAGAGTAATATCACTATTTTTTAGGGACCTATCTCTAATTTTTGGGAATCTATCGCCGAATTTCAGTGATAAAAATAAAATTTTAACGAGAATTTCAATAGAAATTTTCTAACGAATTCATTCAATTTTTCTACTGAATTTTTTTATACATGGTGGGGCAAAATGAAACAGCCGGAAAACGACTATTTGACGGAATTCAAGCAAAAAAAAATTTATCAACTTTTTTTTATTATCAGGAGTACTGATGAGAATAATAATTTTTTATTTGTCTTATAAATCAATTGATTACAATTCAATTGATTAGATTAGGCCGATTACACTTCTTTTTTTTCATTCGATTGAGATTCAGTATTACATTGTCTTTTTGTTCCCTCTGGGTTTCCCCCTGGGCCTTCCTCTGGACTTTGAATTTTGCTGTTTCCCTTTCTTTTGAATCAATCTATTGACAAAATCTCCTCCCATCGAAACCTCTCAATAATTTGTCATTCAACTGAATGGAAAATTATTATTCTAATCAGTACTTTCAATAATAAAAACAATTAATAAACAAAAATTGATAAAATTTTTTTTTTCCTTGAATCGCGTCAAACAGCCGTATTTTCGAATATTTCATTTGGCCAACAATATTAGACTTCGACAATATTAAAAGGAATATTTCCTTATATTGTTTAAAGTTTAACTAGGGAAGGCTGGGGTAAAACGGACACTTTAGAATTTTTAAAAATTATTCATTACTCAGAAACAAATCGATCAATTGAGCTCAGTTTAGGCTCGTCACAAAGGGAAAACATTGTTCTTTGTATTGAAAAAAAAAAATCATTACATTTTATCAACATTTCAACCCTCATTGACGTTTAAAAAAAAGTCAAGTGTCCGTTTTACCCCAACCTCCCCTATATTTAACGAATTTAATATATTACAAAATAACTAAATTTTCCGATTAATGGTTAATAAAATATTTGATAATATTTAAATGTAAATTTCCCGTTAACAAGTTAATTCTAAATTTAGGTTCTTGATTCTCGATTATGCAAACAATCGTCAATCTTCCTACCTAAACTATTGGTCAATAGAATATTTCAAAATTTGAATGTAAAAACTGATGTTTAATTTAAAATTTAAAATCTTGAGATTTATATTAAATTAAAAATTGACAACTTCATAATTTAACGGTAACTATGATTCATGAATATGGCCATCACTCTTTCGTTTAGCCCCTCTCCCCCCAATGTCCGGAAAAGAAATTATTCCCCCATAAATTATCAGTTTTCTCTAGACCCCATTGATTCCTAGTGCCCACCACAAGCTTCCCCAACCGAAAATCTCCCAAACTGATTACTCACATGACTGTTACTCGCTGATTGCCCAGAAAATCCTTGACCAGTCCATGTGTTATGCTTGACAGGCCAAGTTCCATGGTACAGGGAAGACAGCCTATGCCCCTCAGTGGTCTCATCTCCCTTAAAGTCATCCTCACTGCTACCTTCCTCCTCGTAGCATCTGCCCGGTTGCGAATAGATCTGCGGGAACACCCAAAATCAATGATCCAAATTGACAACTGTATTCTCCCAACTGTGTTCTCCCATTCGTAAAAACAGATATTTCGTGAATGTCGGAAATAATTGTTGAAAAAAATGTGAAATTGCAGGCAAAAGCACCGACTGCTGTGTTGTGAAAAGAAAATCAATACGGCCAAGTGGTGGTGGATTTCATGGATGGCGTTTGGGTGGTGTGCGCGGTTCCCCTTTCTCCACTGTCTCACTCACTTCACTCAATTTCAAGCCCGTGGTAATACTCATGCGTCAGTGGTACATGTTTTTTTGGCACAAGACAGCCGAAAGTACGACGAAAATAATTTCCGAGAGCTTTGAAAGTCTAGGCGAATTGTCATTCTGTGTTGGCCCTTGATTTTGATAAAATACTGTTGATGAACCAGTGATAACTCACCTCGGTCTTCTGGCTGGCCTCTTGTCCCGTGGAATCCATGACATTATTGCCCTCTCTGTACTTGCATCGTATCGAAGTTGTGGAGAAATTGGTCGCTGTCAGGGGTGAATTCTGGGCCTCCTCTGTACCCAATTGATATGTCGATGTGATACTGCTGGAGAAACGTGGGTACACCGGTAAGTCCGGCTTATCCGGGTGGAGCGCACCCGACTGGTGCTGTTTTCCTCGACGCAACGGCGTTTCCTCCTGCGCGTGTGATACAGAGAGTGGGGATTAATGTACTGCGCCGTTGTAGACTAATAATCAGAGGTATTTTTCGGAGGTTTTCCGTGTTTCGGGGGTTTTCATTTGCGAAAATGGGGATAATCATGGGGGCCTCGGGGAATGTCTGCTTTGGAACACGGAGAGAAATATTCAATAGAAATTACGTATAAATATTCAATAGAAATGTGGTTGTAGGTAATTTCACGGAAACTGTCACGGAATTTTTCCGGAGCGTTCCGTAATTTTTATCTGAATCTCCTGTGAAAAATTAAGATATCGTCACTCAAATTTTCTGAGTCGATTCCGTAATCGGTGAGCGAATTGTGAGTTCCGGAATTTTTACTGAATATTTCTCTCCGTGAAGGAAAAATGGGTGACAATATGCGCGAACAAAGTTAATTGGAAAATATAGCGAATTCGCTAGAGAATTCTGTTGGGTTTCTATTGAACTTTTTGGTGGTTTCTGGGAGATTCTATGGAAATGGTTAATACAAAATATTCGGAGAAAAAGTTGATAGAACTCGATTTTTTCATCACTTGTGCGTAAAGTGAAATTTTACGCACGCGGAGCGGGCGCAAAATGACATTTTTTACACATTGTGATGAAAAGTAGAAAATACTCAATAGAAAAAGTTAATAGAATTGAATTTTTTCATTACTTGCGCGTAAAGTGAAATTTTACGCACTCGTATCGAAATATCCTATTTTATACAACTTATTCTTTGAAGATATTTGTTGTAGAATTTCCTTGGCTCAAATTTGCTAACTTTTTTGTTCCATTTTCTTGATGAAAAGAAAAGAAAAGTAGAAGAAAAAAACCTAGAAAATTTGAGCCGAGGAAAATTCTACAGAAAATGTATCAATGGAATAAATTGTGTAGAAAAATCCAATATCTATTGACTTTTTCCAGATATGCCAGTAGCGAAGCGATAAAACGGTTTACGAATATCCCGGTATCTTCTACAATTTGCTATAGCACACACTATAGATTCAACCATTTTTAATCAACAAATTTGTCAATTAAATTATGTGAGAAAAATTTGAAAAAAATCAGGAATATTCAAATCAAATCATTCAAATTACATTTTGCACAGAATTATTATTTTTAAAAACATCCGTTGTTTATAAGTAAATAATTGAAATTGTTTAAATGATTTTTATGGTAGAAAATTGATTGTTTATAAATTAATTATAGAAACTGCTGATTGGCAAAAATGGAAATTTTTAAATGATTTCATTAATCTTCCTACAATTTTCAAAATGTTTTCCAACTAACAGTTCAATGTTAAGATTCAAATTCAGACCTGCAAAGTTTAAATAATAAAATCATTGCAAAATATCGTTTTAGACCATATTTAATTACTCTAACGCAAAAAATGGAAACTTAAATTTGTGCGATTACAGAGCTTCCACTCGGAAGCAAAATTTAATTTCCTAGCTTCTCTCCCTCGAATCACGCGACGATCGATTATCCTAATACATCGTGAACTTGTCCACGTAAATTTTCATTAATGCCAACGTTTCACGACAGATAAACCACGACCGGGACGACTTCTCAGAGGCTCAAATAATCGAAAGTCAGTAAGAGTTGCTCAGGCAAAGCAGGTCACCTGCAGGAAGAGGGAGAATGAGTCCTACACATGTTGAATAGAAATCTGATGCTGATATCATTAGAGGAATTGTACTCGTTCAGTAATCGGCGCTTCTAATTTGTCATGCACGAGAGGAGGGATGATAATCGTGATTCAGTAGACCATCTATAGTAATCCTTGACTTTTTATTCTCTTCCGACTTTATGGGCCGCTGGACAACATCGGACTTTCAAGCGTTCAATCAATGGTATATTAACGAAAAGGCAGAATTCATTAGAAAATGCGCACTGACTTTTTGGATCGAGAAAAAATATTCTGCAATAGAAATATCTTTTTCGAAGCAAAAAAAAAAATCCGCAGAAATAAAATAAAACTCTTCGTTTCGAATTTTCCTTTTTCATTTTAATGCTGATGTTTCAGTTAGCATATGAAATTAATTCTTCATTCATTTTGAATAAATCTATTAGAGTTTATAAAATTAAAAAGAATATAATTGTATTAGAATCAAATAAACGATTCATTAGACTGTATTTAAGAAAAAGTATTTGATGAGAAATTTCAGTAATTTTTTGTTAATTTCTTCTTCATATAAATGAAAGTTTAGACATGAAACATCATGAAATTTTCATTTTTCAATAACATTCATTTTTTATTTAGCAGAAGGATTTAATAATTTTAAATTCAATAATTTTCATATTAAATATACAAAAAAAATCGTCGAAGAATATTGAAAATTGCAGAGCTAGAATAAAAATTCTAATTGTCACACAAAGCTTAACCAATAAATAAATTCACGTTATAATTGACTTTTGTGAGGAAAACCGTACTTGAAAAAAATAGTGTGACCCCCCCCCCAGAAAACTGATTTCATATTGAAATAAATTTCGAATTCTCAAAGATTTCCCAGATAAATCAAAATATAACTCTTTTGCTATAAATTTCTATTCGAGAAGACCTATTTGTGTTCCAGTTCAAAGGCGAATTGACAGAGAGATATTCCCCCTTCCCGCACGCATTTCCTAAAATTAAATATATAATCATTCCAAATGGATCCTGATTTATTATGGTGATGAATTCTGCTGCTGACGGGATAATCATATAACTGGACGGGAGAAAGGAATAGAAAATTGGGCATTTGTGAATCGTATCTGACTGGAAGTTAGAGCCTCGTAAGCATCTAATGAGGGTCATGAGTGGTTTTTCAAATTCATATTCTCCTAATTTATTCGCGCCTTTATTTTACAGCGCCTCAGGGCTGATAATTACCATCCTAGGAATTCCTTGATCCGAGCCGAACTCATTAGAGAACTCATTTAAGCCAATGCTGAGTTACGATTGTGATAATTTTTCAAGCATTTTGAATACGCGTACTTCAAAATCTTTCAATTTTACAAACGACCTCTCTTATTTTTGGAAAGAAACAAATAGAGCCCGCACTTGGCGTGATTTTTTTTCTCGCCGTGGCTCTTCGCACTACCACACGCAGCGTGTCACACGCCGCGAGGATTATAATCACATTCGCCAGATAATACTTTTATCGCCTAATGACATAACATACTATTTCAACCAAGTGACGAATATAATTTTTCTGCACAATGTCCGTAAACGTCGTTTTGCGGACAGTGTGATGAAAAGTGTTTAATTTTTTTCATGCGAAAGACCACAAATTATTCGTATCTCGCTGACCTTGCGTTCAATCCGGGCAATCCTAGGGGAATCGCCTTGATATTCCGGAAGAATTATCGGTTGCAGATAGGCCTGAGAGGTGATTCTCTCTTCTTTCTCTCCAGCGTCATCAGTCATTGTCTCCTGTTCCTGACTATGGAGAATGAGTTTCAGCCGATTTTTCTCAGTCTTCAGAATTTTACTGTCGACTTTATAACCTCGAGGCAATGGGATACCACTCGGGCCATGCACTTGAGGGTCTTTCGATCGTGCAGGACCTGAACTTGATTGCAAGTATCTACCGCTGGTCTGACTAAAGTCCTTCAACATTTTGGCACACGTGTTTCCGCGCTTCAGAGGCTTTCGGAAAATTCGATCCCCTTGTCACAGTGAAACAGATTTACACTTTTCAGACGTCGTTCGAAATATTCGGAATTGTCTCTTTCACGCAACACTGCATCAGCCTCACACGTGACAAAGCGCAGACGCCCGGGCAAAGATTTTCCGAACTGTCTGCACATCCTTGAATTCAGCTTTTTCGTGAGGAGTTTATGTAGTCGATAAACATTTTCATTGATCGCAGGAATTGTTCAATGTTTCTTAATTTATTTGTTTATGGGGTTGTTTGACAATGTCCGGTACGAGCTTTTACAAAAACAAAGTATAAAACCCCTGTTTATGAGAACAATTCAGTAGCGAAGCGGTAAAACGGTCAAAGTCGACTTGGGACTGTCCTGAGCTTTCGAGGAATATCTCCGAATCTAAGGGAGCTAACGAAATTTACGTAATGACCTTTTTTGTAGAGCGAACTAAGGGCTACATAAAAGATAATGACAAAATTTTTGCTATCGTTCTTAAATTCCGAGATATGCATTGAAAACTGGCCAATAGGTAAAATCGACTTGAACCGCTTCGCTACTGAATTTTATTTTAAAGTCTAGCGCATTCGATAGAAAATTCGGTTGGACTTCTATTGATAATTCTGTCAATTTTTCCTCAAATTATTTTAGAGAAAAAAAATAGGATTCGAACTTTCCATACAACTTATGCCATTGAAATATTTTCTGTAGAATTTCCGCAGCCAAATTTTTTCAAGGTTTTTAATCGATTTTTTCAATGAGAAAAAAAAGTGTTCGAAAAACTTTAAAATTTATGGCGAGGAATTTCTCTAGAAGGTATCTCAATACAATCAGTTCTGTATAAAAATAAAATTCTATAAATTTTTACCATGGAATAGTTTGTATTGAAAAAAGCGCAGAAAAGCTGCGGAACTCCTCGACAAAATTGACGAGGAACTGATGCAATTGCCAAAAAAAATCCAATGGAATTCACTAGACAATTTTATTGGACTGCTACCAAATTTCTGTCGAAGATTCTATTAGTGACTCATCGATTCTATTGAAAAATTCCGCAGCCCTTCAACGCGTTTTTTTCTCAATAAAAATATTCATTAGAAAGCGGTTTATTGAGATTCAATAAAAAAATAAGAAAATTCAAGCTGGGAAGTAATACAGTAAAATGAGATTCTGTTGATTTCGTTTATTCACTAGACAATTTTATTGGACTGCTACCAAATTTCTGTCGAAGATTCTATTAGTGACTCATCGATTCTATTGAAAAATTCCGCAGCCCTTCAACGCATTTTTTTCTCAATAAAATTATTCATTAGAAAGCGGTTTATTGAGATTCAATAAAAAAATAAGAAAATTCAAGCTGGGAAGTAATACAGTAAAATGACATTCTGTTGATTTCGTTTATAAATTTCTCTTCAACATTTTCTATTGAAAAAAAAAACGCAAACTTGATAGAATTCTCGATACAAGTCCAATTCAAATAAGGCTTTATCAACTATCATTAACACAATCTCCGATTTGAGGATATGAAACTGATATAAAATACCGAGCACTTGAATTCTTTTCATTTCACGCACGAAAAAATTTAATAGAGAAACCCAGCGAATTCGTGGGAAATTTCTATTGGATTTCTATTGAACTTTCTATTAGTTTTTGGCCGATTCTATTGACATGTGCAATAGAGAAATATTGAATAGATAAAGTTAACAGAATTTGATTTTTCTGTATAACTTATTCTCCTCAGGTGTTTTCTATAGAATTTCTTTGGATCAAATTTTCCAAGTTTTTTTCGCAATTCAAGCAAAGAAAATTGTTTTTATTAAATATTTTTTGATTAACTTTTGTTTATCAACTTTTTTTATTCTCGGGGGCACTGGTGAGAATAATTATTATTATTGAGACGTTTCGACGGGAGAAGATTTTGTCAACGGATTAATTGAAAAGAAAATGAAACTGCAAAATCCGAAGTCCAGAGCACGGCCCAGACTATTCAGTCTATTGATTTTTTCTACTAATTACTTCAGTCCTGTTCTCTCCGTCTTCCAACCTTTAAAAAACCCTCTCCACGGTTCCCGGAATTAATTTCCCCAACAAAAATTTCCCGGAAAAAATTTTTCCGAATAAAATTCCCCCATAAAATACCTCAAATACTAATCAAACATTTATTTTTCAATTCATCATCAGCTGTCGATTTACAACACAAAATTAGCTACATCCTTCAAGAATTTATCACATTCATCAGCACACATGAATTTATTCACATTCATCATAATTGTCAACAATTCTTTTCAAACGCTCATCATAATCGCGATATTAAACAAATAATCAAACAAGTTCAATTAAACGAATTAAAATTGACAACCCCCACAAAATGGGAAAAAATGTCAAGGAAAAAACTATAAAAAGGAATTTTAAGATTTTTGTTCGGGAGAAAATCATTGTTGGGGAAAACATTTTCCGGGTAAAATTTTGTTTGGGAAAATTTTTTCCGGGGAAATTTTTTCAGAGAAATTTTTTTCGGCGGAAAAAAACTCCGGTCCCCCCCGCCCCCAGAAATGCACTAGAATTTCCCATGAAATGTCTTCATTAACCCCGCAAAATTCGTTCATACACGGTGAATCGACCAGAAAGCCACAACTGCCCGCTGCCGATAAAAAACCAAAGAAAAGGATATTCACAATTGCTTCAGCTCTCCCGTCGTCTCCGTTCATCCACCGTAAATGCACCGGACGTAAACGCCTACAAAACACCGCAGCATCGTTACCCGAATGACAGAACCATAACGACGTTGTTTCAGCAGAATAAGACAGAATTTGAAAGCGAAAGGAAATAACCAGCCCCAACTGCGACAAGGCCGATGAAAATGGGCTTTCACCCACCGAACGCGAAAAAAAATGCTCAATCACTCAACAGTGGTACTATTTCCATCTCGATTATCAAAGAATAAACAAGAATACTCTTTTTTTGGGCGGATAATATAATCTCAGTGTGCGGCTGCACTGGGGGAACAACAGACGTAGGTTAGGGGATAAGAACAGCTGGTCTGGCACTCACTACCGTACGCCATCACTGACTCACTGGCTGCTCTATGCCGAGAGGCGCCGAGGGCCTTTCCCCTCGCATCTCGCTCCCAGATAGTCTCACACAGGGAGACTCGATCCCCCCT